CTTTTGGTCTCCCTCTCGCTTCCTGCGCTTCCTTCCGCTTTTTGCCCTGGGGGTGGCCCGTCCCGAATTCAGCTGTGGGGTCACCAGCCCATCCCAGACGCTGCTTTGATCTCAATGATTTGATGCGACCTCTATCATGTACACGATTTGCTGCACACATTTTTATTCCGCGCTCGAATATACAGCGTGATGGCCACGAGGATCCAGCAGCTGTTACGATGCAGCAAGGTTTTTGTTTTCTCGTCGGTCGCACACCCGAGGTACCGCCAGAGCTCGCGAGGCCACGATGGCTGCGCACACTTTCCAACGATAATAGTGTGGAACATCGGCCGTGCGACCCTGCTGGTCGTATTCACGTGATTTGGTGTTTATGTCATTCACATACCTGTTCGGGGCTCTGGGCTGGCGGGACGGATGCTTGCCTTCCTTCCCTTGTTACGCTCCTTGCCTTACCTTTCGGCCTGCGTGAATCCTACTCCGTCTCCTCCTCGTTTTCCTCCTCCTCCTCCTCCTCCTCCTCCTCCTCTCATTCCCCTTCTGCTTCTCCTCCTCCTTGTCCTCCCCCTCCTTCTCCTTTACAGTTACACAGTATGAAGAGTATTCTCCTGTCTCCCCTGATGACGTCCGGAGGCTTTTCGGCGCCGCTCCGCGTATGGCTGTTCCCAGCCATCTTGTGGTGTTGGGTCCTCGTTTTGAAGAGACGGTCCCCGCGTTCCTCCTCCTCCTCTCCTCCTCCTCTACCCCCTCCTCCCTCCTCCCGTCACCCCCCACACTTTGGCACACCCCTCACACGTTTCGTGGCCCCATAGGGAGCTCCACCGAAAGCCCCAGTGGGGGTGCCCGCATGCAACCGCCACACCCAGTACAGCGTTTCGCGGCCTCATGGGGGGCTCCACCGAAGGCCCCAGTGGGGGTGCCCGCAGGCGTCCGCCACACCCAGTTCAGCGTTTCGTTGCCCTATGGGGAGCTTCACCGAAGGCCCCAGTGGGGCTGTCCGCATGCGTCCGCCACACCCCATACAGCGTTTCGCGGCCCCATGGGGGGCTCCACCGAAGGCCCCAGTGGGGGTGCCCACAGGCGTCCTCCACACTCAGTACAGTGTTTCGTGGCCCTATGGGGGGCTCCACCGAAGGCCCTAGCGGGGGTGCCCGCATGCAACCGCCACAACCAGTACAACGCGTCGTGGTTCCATGGGGAGCTCCACCGAAGGCCCCAGTCGGGGTGCCCGCAGGCGTCCGCCACAACCAGTACAGCGTTTCGCGGCCCCATATGCGCTCCACCGAAGGCCCCAGTGGGGGTGCCAGCAAGCGTCCGCCACACCTAGTACAGCGCTTCGTGGCCCCACAGATAGCTCCACCGAAGGCCCCAGTGGGGGGGCCCGCAGGCGTCCGCCACACCCAGTACAGCGCTTCGCGGCCCCATAGGGAGCTCCACCGAAGGCCCCAGTGGTGGTGCATGCATGCGTCCGCCACGCCCAGTATTGCGTTTGGGGCCCTACAGGGGACTCCACCGAAGGCCCCAATGGGGGTGCCCTCATGCGTCCGCCACACCCAGTACAGCGTTTCGCGGCCCCATAGGGAGTTCCACCGAAGGCCCCAGTGGGGGTTCCCGCAGGAGTCCGCCACACCCAGTACAGCGTTTCGTGGCCCCCAGCGCGGGCGTTTTCGGTCCTTCCAGGAAAACCCCACATGTAGACAATTACCACCAGAAAAACCATCGCAAGTGATTTCGCATCCGGTGTCGATTCGTTGAGTTTCTGGGCCGCTTCGGGGCGTCGTTTGGAGGAAGTATCAAGCGGGAGCCCCGTTTCTGCTTTCAGAAGGCGATGCTGCGAGCATACCTAGCGGGTGCTCTCCATCGGCCCCGCCTTGGGGGGAGCTCGTTGTGGAACCCAGGGAGCTAAACATGGAGCCGCGATTCCAGACTGGCCCCTACCCTTCGAAGACTATCTCCACACTGGGGTTCCTAACCCCCCAGGGCGGGACAAACCCAAACACACATGGGTTCGTATCGCCCCAGGGCGGGACAAGCGTGAAAGCACATAGGTTCCCAACGCCCCAGGGCGGGACAAGTGTGATAACACATGGCTTCCTAATGCCCCAGGGCGGGACAGGCTTGAACACACGTGGAGTCCGAACCCCCCACGACGGGCCAATCGTGAAACGTTGTGGGCTCCTGGCGCCCTGGAAAGGGACGGCGTGTGCCCCTCCCCCCTCGGCGCGTCTCCTGGCTCGTGCACTGTCGCGTTCCCTGGCCCGTCCCTTGGCGCTGTCCCTGCCCGTTCCGAGGCGCGTCCCTTGTCGCGTCCCCCGGCACGTCCCCTGGCGCATCCCCTGGCACGCCCCCGGCACATTCCGTGTCGCGTCCATGCGCCTTGCGCCCCGTGTCGTTTCGTCCCGGGAAGTGAGTCGGATCTTGATCTTGAGTTGATTGTCTCTTCTTCGACGTTCGGCTTGAGTGGCTCTTCGGCGAGTTGTGCCGTCAGGCAGCTCTAGCTCAAAATCCAAATCAGTTCGTGCAGCTCCCGTGGCGCGTCCCCCTCGCACATCGCGCAGCGCGCTGGCACGTCGCCACAGCGGAGCGGCATAGCGCAGAGCAGCACAACACAGCCCTTGGCACAGTGCCATCACCATTGATATCTTCAGTATTGCCACTGCCCATCGCCCGATTGAGTTGTTTGGAGACGTTTTTATGCCTCGCAGTTCTAAGTCCCTTTCCAGGTTCGTGGGTCGATCTTGTTACCGGAAAGAGCATTGGCCCAGGGTTCTCTTGTGGTTGGGGTCGATTTGTCCCGGTGCCATGTTGGGGGTGGGCCGGCGGATCTCTTTTGCTGTAAATAAAGAAAAAAGGGTGGGCCGGTGTATTAAATCATGCGGGTGTCCCGCGCGAAACGCTGGTTTTTGAAATCCTAATCGATAGAAAACATCGTAAAGTTACCATGTTCGTCTGTTGCGTATGTCTCTTTCGAAACGCTTGCTTCTTCTGCAGAGTGTGTTGAGGATGTCTCGAGCGAAACGCGTGTATTGTCCTATCGGTTGCGCCTTTCTTGGGGCTCGAATCCTTTGTGTTTTATGCATGTTCTTTTCGATTGCGCTAGCGAGCGCTTCAGAGCGGGGCAAACAACATGAAAACACGTGGGTGCCAAACGCCCCAGAGCGGGACAAACGCGAAAACACACTCCAGAGCGGGACACGCAGGAAAACACGTGGGCTTCCAGCGCCAAAGAGCGGGACGGGCTTGAAGACGCAGGGGTTCCTGACGCCCAGGAGCGGGACAAACCGTGTAACAGCACGTGGTTTCTCATCGCTCCAGAGCGGGACAAGCGTGACAACACGAGGGTGCCCAACGCCGCAGAGCGGGACAAGCGTGAACACACATGGGTTTCTGAACGCCCCAGAGCGGCACAATCGTGAAAGCACGCGGGGTCCCAACGCCCCAGAGCGGTGCAAACGTGAAAGCACATGGATTCCTAACGCCCCAGAGCGGGACAGGCGTGAAACACAAATGGTTCTTAACGCCCCAGAGCGGGACAGGCGTGAACGCACATGGGTTCCTAACGCCCCAGAGCGGGACGAACACGACAAATTGCAGGATCCTAGCGCCCCAGAGCGGGACAAGCGTGAGAACACGTGGGTGCCTAACGCCGCAGAACGGGGCAAGCGTGAATACACATGGGTCCTGTCGCCCCAGGGCGGGACAAGCGTGAAAACACGCGGGGCCCTAACGCCCCAGAACGGGACAAGCGAGAAAACACGTGAATTCCTCACGCCCCAGAGAGGGACAGGCGTGAAACAGAAATGGTTCCTAACGTCCCAGAGCGGGACCGGGGTGAACGCACATGGTTCTTAACGCCCCAGAGTGGGACAAACACGACAGATTCTAGAAGCTTCGCTTCGCTTCGCTTCGCGTACCCCCAATACTGCTTCCTGATGGCGTTCAGGTGGTCTGCATTTCATGCAAGGATTCACGCATGGAATAGTGCTGCGTCGCATTCGCTCAGGTCAGGTGCCCCCTCGCTTGCTCCTGGCTGGTGTCGGCCCTTACTGATGACCGGAAGGTTCCAGTGAGTCTCTCGCTACACTGCCTACCTTACTGTACCTGGACCTCGGGTTCGGCAAGTGTGGCTCTGTACGCTCGTTGGCCGACGTTCTCCAGCATGGACTTCGCTTTCGACAAGTGTTACTGGTTTTGCTGCCGTTTGTTGTCTTGTCGGTGATGATGTTGCCCCTCTTCGCTCTTGCGCCGACACGGTGTTTTGGCATTTGTGTCGCCTATTTCACGGATGTCGTCTGGGTGTGCTTGTCAGTCTAGTTCGTCTCTGACGGTGCTGTCTGCCTGACTCAAGCCGAGCGATCGACCTCTGCGTGTTTATGGTCGCGCCGCCGCGCAATTTTGGCTGCGCTTACTTGCTGGTCGCCACCGGGATTTCCAACGCCACCGGGTTTGGGAGTATCGGTTCTGGCTCTCCTTCTGAATGGCTGCCCGCTCGCTCGCTTGGCTTGCCTGTCTTTTCCTGCTGCCTAGTCGCGGCCCGACTAGTGTTCGGGCGGCTTTCGACCCGCCTCGCGAGCCTGTTGACGAACATGTATCCCCACCAGCCCATCCAGAAAACAATGTCCAGGCGAGTTGAGAGGTGACCAGGGAAGTGCGGGAGCAAACAGGGGGACGGCCGAACCGTCTGAAGGAGAGAGGGGTGGATGATGGAGAAGGGAGAAAGATAATGAATAGGATGAGGAGGATGAGGAGGATGAGGAGGATGAGGAGGAGGAGGAGGAGGAGGAGGAGGAGGAGGGAGGAGGAGAGGAGGAGGAGGAGGAGGAGGAGGAGGAGGAGAAGAGGAGGAGGAGAGGAGGAGGAGGAGGAGGAGGAGGAGAGGAGGAGGAGGAGGAGGAGGAGGAGGAGGAGGAGGAGGAGGAGGAGGAGGAGGAGGGGGAGGGGGAGGAGGAGGATGAAAAGGGATAGGAGGAGGAAGGAGGAGGAAAGCAAGCAAAAGGGCCAGAGGTCTCTTGGATGCTTCTCGGAGCCTCTTAGGGGTATCTCTCGGGCGTCTTGGGACGTCTTGGGGGTCTCTTGGCGGTCGTGGGGGGCTCTTCGGCGTCTTGGGTGCTTCGGGGGAGCCTCTTGGGGCCGCTTGGGATCCTTTTGGGGGCCTCCTGGGGGCCTCTTGGGGGTCTCTTGGGGCCATATGGGGCCTCCTGGGCGCTTCTTGGGGCCATCTTGGAGGAGATCGATCAAACAAGTGGGGCGCTTTAATTAGGCCCCCCCCCCGTCAGGAGGCCAAAATGGGGGCAACACCCTAGTAAAACCAATGATATCGGCTTCCTCGCCGGGGCCGTTTTGGACGCTCCGGCACCTCGCGGAACCCCCTGTCCAGGTCCAGGGGAGGGGGTAGGGAGAGGGGTAAACCCCTCCCCGAAGGGGAAGAAGGAGGGGTGGAAGAGGAAACGCCCTAAACCACCGACGCCCAGAGGGCTGGTGGGATTGCGGGGTCCTAGCGCCCCAGAGCGGGACATGCGTGACAACACGTGGGTGCCTGACGCCGCAGAACGGGACAAGCGTAACAACACGTGGGTGCCTAACGCCGCAAAGCGGGACAAGCGTGAACACACATGGGTTCCTGAACGCCTCAGAGCGGTACAATCCTGAAAGCATGCGCGGTCCTAACGCCCCAGAGCGGCACAAACGTGAAAGCACATGTCTTCCTAACGCCCCAGAGCGGGACAGGCGTGAAACACATGGGTCCGAACGCCGCAGAACGGGACAAGCGTAAACACACATGGGTTCCTAACGCCCCAGAGCGGGACAAACACGACAAATTGCGGGGTCCTAGCGCCCCAGAGCGGGACAAACGTGACAACACGTGGGTGCCTAACGCCGCAGAGCGGGGCAAGCGTGAATACACATGGGTCCTGTCGCACCAGGGCGGGACAAGCGTGAAAACACGCGGGGCCCTAACGCCCCAGAACGGGACAAACAAGAAAACACGTGGATTCCGAACGCCCCACAGCGGCACAGGCGTGACACAAATGGTTCCCAACGCCACAAAGCGGGACAGGCGTGAAGAGCACATGGAGTCCCAACGCCCCAGAGCGGGACAAACGCGACAAACTGCGGGGTCCTAGCGCCCCAGAGCAGGACACTTGTGACAACACGTGGGTGCCTAACGCCGCAGAGCGGGACAAGCGTGACAACACGTGGGGGCCTAACGCCGCAAAGCGGGACAAGCGTGAACACACGTGGGTTCCTGAGCGCCCCAGAGCCCAGAGCGGTACACTCGTGAAAGCACGCGGGGTCCTATCGCCCCAGAGCGGGACAGGCGTGAAACACAAATGGTTCCTAACGCCCCAGAGCGGGACAGGCGTGAACGCACATGACTTCCTAACGCCCCAGAGCGGGACAAACACTACAAATTGCGGGGTCCTGGCCGCCCAGAGCGGCACAAACGTGAAAGCAGATGTGTTCCTAACGCCCCAGAGCTGGACGGACGTGAAACACAAATGGTTCTTGACACCACAGCGGGACCGGCGTGAACGCACATGGGTTCCTAACGCCCCAGAGCGGGACGAACACGACAAATTGCGGGGTCCTAGCGCCCCAGAGCGGGACAAGCGTGAGAACACGTGGGTGCTTAACGCCGCAGAGCAGGGCAAGCGTGAATACACATGGGTCCTGTCGCCCCAGGGCGGGACAAGCGTGAAAACACGCGGGGCCCTAACGCCCCAGAACGGGACAAACAACAAAACACGTGGATTCCTAACGCCCCACATGGGGGACAGGCGTGAAACACAAATGGTTCCCAACGCCACAAGGCGGGACAGGCGTGAAGAGCACATGGAGTCCCAATGCCCCAGAGCGGGACAAACGCGACGACCTGCAGGGTCCTAGCGCCCCAGAGCAGGACAAGCGTGACAACGCGTGGGTGCCTAACGCCGCAGAGCGGGACAAGCGTGACAACATGTGGGCGCCTAACGCCGCAGAGCGGGACAAGCGTGAACACACATGGGTTCCTGAACGCCCCAGAGCGGTACAACCGTGAACGCACGCGGGGTCCTATCGCCCCAGAGCGGGACAGGCGTGAAACACAAATGGTTCCTAACGCCCCAGAGCGGGACAGGCGTGAACGCACATGACTTCCTAATGCCCCAGAGCGGGACAGACATTACAAATTGCGGGGTCCTGGTGCCCCAGAGCGGGACAAGCGTGACAACACGCGGCTGCCCGACGGCGCAGAACGGGACAAGCGTGAATACACATGGGTCCTGTCGCCCCAAGGCGGGACAAGCGTGAACACACATGGGTCCCTGACCGCCCCAGAGCGGGACAAGCGCGAAAACACATAGTTCCCTAACGCCCCAGAGCGGAACAAGCGTGAATCCACGTGGGGCCATAAGGGCTCAGAGCGGCACAAGCGTAAAAACCCGTGGGTTCCTAACACCCCAGAGCGGGACAAGCGTGAGCACACGTGGTTTCCTGGCTCCCCGGTGCACGGCAAGCGTGAAGACACATGGGCTTCTACAAGACCAGAGCGTGGCAAGCGTGAACGCCCCAAGGCGGGGCAAGCGTGAGCACACGTGGGTTCCTAACGCCCCAGAGCTGGACAACCGTGAAACCACGTGACTCCCCAGAGCGGGACAAGCGTGAATTCACGTGGGTACCTAACGTTCAAGGGCGGGACAAGCGTGACATCACATGGGTGCCGAACGCCTTAGATCGGGACAAGCGTGACAACACGTGGGTCTATCACAGCGCACATGAGCACACGTGGGTCCTAACGCCCATGAGCGGGACAAGCGTGAAATTACATGGCTTCTGACGCCCCCGATCGGCACACGCGCGAAAGCACGTGGGCTCCTAATGCTACACAGCGGTATCTCTGCCGCTTTCTCTGCTCCTTCGGTTGCGCATCCCTTGCCACGCCCCCTGACACGCCCCCGGGCGAAACTTTTAGTGCGCCCCTGGCACATGGCGCGTCCATGCGCCCTGTGTCCCGTGTCGTCTCGTCCCGCTTCGGACCCGAATCGGATCTGAAGCTCGAGCTGATTGAGCGTCCAGGGAATTTCCATTTCAGCCATCTCTGGGACAGAAATTCGCTCGGGCAGCTCGAGCTTAAGGTCCAGATCAGTTCGGTCATGATTCGGATTCCAAGGACGACTTGATCCAAACACTACAGAGCACAACGCAAGTCATCGTGGCATGACAGATCGAATTTCAGCACGGCGCAGCACCGCACACTCTCTGGTACGGCACATTACGTTCGGTAGCTCCAGCATTGCCACCCAACCAGGTGTCTTGAACACGTAACCGTGCCCCGCGTGTCTAAACACATATGTTTCTTTATGTTTCTGGTTTTCTGGTTTACGTTCTGGTTCGTTTGTTGTGTTGGAGTGTGGTGCTTTCAACTGAAAATCCCTGATTTCGCATTATGGTGCTCCCGCTGCCGCGTAGGCTTCGTTTTAGGATCGACTTCTTGTTTCCATCATCAAAAATGGCGCTCTAGCCTCAGCGCGGGCAACAATTCTGGATCCGAGTCCTTCATCGTCGTTGTCGCCCCGCTCCTTGTCCCTCCTCTGCATGTCACTGGTTATTCTGCTCCTCTTGCTCCTTCTGCTCCTGCTGCTGCTGTTCCTCCTCATCGTCCTCCTTCCTCATCCTCATCCTCTTCTTCCTGCTCATCCTCTTGCTCATCCGACACCCCCTTCTTCTCGTCTCCCTCCTCCTCCTCCTCCTCCTCCTCCTCCTCCACTGTACACAGCTACTCTTGTCTGTCTGCGCATTACATGATGGTGCGCTTTTGAGGGCTCCACATCCGCCATGATACCTGTTGGCGAACTGAGACAAATCAGCGCAATGAGAAGGGATGGGTCGGAGAGATAGGTTGTCAGATATGACGCGAGCGCACCTGGCTGGTCCTCTCCCCTCTCCCTCTCCCTCTCCATTCTCCCTCTCCCTCTCCCTCTCCCTCTCCTTCTCGATCCTCCTAGTTCTTTGTCCATCCTCCTCGGTCCTCCTACGTTCTCCCCAGCCTCCTCCACCGACTCCTCGATCCTCCTCCCGCTCCTCCAGCTCCGAACCCTCCTTCTTGCTCCACGCGCGTGGGCGCAGAGGGCGCAGATACCCTGTTTTTCAAGCTGCCCTTTGCGTGCTGCATGCCGCGGGGATTCTCCAGGAGGAGTGGAGGCGGGAGATGATGATCCGGAAGACATGGATCGCGGAGGCGGAGGATTCGGATAATAATGGTGCTGCTGCTGCTGCTGCTGCTGCTGATGATGATGATGATGCTGATGATGATGATGATGATGATGATGATGATGATGATGATGATGATGATGATGATGATGATGATGATGATGCTTATGCTGATGCTGCTGCTGATGCTGCTGATGCTGCTGATGATGATGATGATGAGGAGGAGGAGGAGGAGGGAGGAGGGAGGAGGAGGAGAAGGAGTAGGAGGAGGAGGACGAGGAGGAGGAGGAGGACGAGGAGGAGGAGGAGAGGATTGAGAACCGTGGCGGGTCGTGGTGGAGGAGCATGGCCATGAAGGAGGAGGAGGAGGACGAGGATGAGGAGGAGGAGGATGATGGGGGAGGAAGAGGTGGAGGAGGAGGACGAGAAGGAGGGGGCGTACCAAGTGTGCTCTCCACTCTTGGAGCAGCCGTGCGGCAGGCCCCCTGGTGTGTGGAGGCCCGAGGTGGACTCGACGAGATCTGTTCATAATCTGTTGTGACAACAGATGTGTCTCTTTTCTCCTCCTCCTCCCCCTCCCCCTCTTCCTCCTCCTCCTCCTCCTCCTCCTCCTCCTGTTTCCTTCTCTCTCCTCTCTCCTCTCCTCCGCGCTGATCTGCTTTTTCTTTGCATGAGCGCTGCGTGATCATCGCCTCGTGGTCCGCTGGCGATCCGCGCGTGGTCGTGGCGTGCAGCCCGCCGTCGGACCAGTCGATCCGATGCACGTTCGAGGGCGCGCAGCTTTGCCGTCGCGAGAGGCGGGAGGAGGGCGAGCGAGGATGAGCAGGACCTGGAAGATGAGCAACAGGAGTTACATCAGGAGGAGGATAAGGAGGACTGGGCAGAGCCGGACAACGAGGGCTACGGGTAGGTCGAGGAGGAGGAGGAGGAGGAGGAGGAGATGAGGATGAGAAGGGGGAAGAGGGTCAAGGGAGGTGGAGCGAGAGGGAGAGCTGGAGGAACAGTCGGAATCTGAGGATGATGGTGATGATGACGATGATGATGCTGCTGATGCTGATGATGCTGATGATGATCAAGCTGATGCCTTGGAGGACCAGCGCATATCATACACCAGAAGTAGTATGTATGGACCGCGTATTGTCACCAGCCATCAGCCATCATGCGTTTGACAGCGAATCTGCCTCCATTCATGTGTGGTAGGCGCTTTGAGGAACATGTGCGCTGCGTCAGAACAAGGCGACGATGTTGCAATTGCTCAACGTTTCAAGCTCCATGGTCATTTCATGCTAGGGCGTCGCATGCAAGAACCCGGTTCTGGGACGGGTTACGTATTCGCTGCATTTGCTCAGGCATTACGGTCGCAACGCTGAGGAACGATCATGCGGGAGTTCCGTCTTGAAAGGGTGGCGCCCCCTATCAGTGTAGATGCTTGGTATTTCAAGTTGTAGGTTGATCGGGCTTGGGGAAGTGCCTGGCGATACCAAGAGTTTGACATATTTTGACCATGCGCCACCCCATCCGGGTAAAGCCTGAAACTTAGCAGGCGAATATTTCGGCGCGGCGCTGAGAGGATGCCCGCATTTTGAAATCCACGCGCCCGCCATTCGTATAGTTGTTAAAGGCTTGTGCTGCGATCGTGCGCGGTGCTGAGACGGGAAACGCATTTCGAACACAGTCTGCCCTCCTTCCGCGTAGCAATTGGGGACTTTTCGCCCGATTGTGCACGGCGCTAAAGCGACAGTCACCTCCTGACAATGACCCGCCCTCAATATGTATAGCTGTTACAAGCTTTGAAGACGAGTTTGCTTGGCGCTGATGCGATTCCAGCATTTCAAGCTGAGCTTGGCGCTGATGTGAGACATACACGTTAAACATAGCTTACTCGCCGTCCGTGTAACAGTTTGACGGTTCGTGATATAGCTTGTGAGGAACGCTCAAGCGAAACGCTTGGCCCGCTCTACCGAAACGTCCAGTGGCACCACGACGAGGAATGACTGTCAGGGCAACCTAGAGAGCAATGATGAGGAGGATAAGCATGAACAGGATGATGCTGATGATGATGACGATGATGGTGGTGATGATGCTGCTGCTGATGATGATGATGATGATGATGATGAGGCGGTGTAGAGCGATGACCATTATGACGATGATGACGACGATGGTGACGATGCTATTGATGATGAGGATGATGGTGATAATGAGGAGGAGGAGGTTCAGAATGAAGAGGAGGAGGAGGAGGAGGAACGGGTTGAAGGGAAATGACCCTAGGCGAGCACAGACGAACACTAATCGTGCTTAGATTCATTATTTTGACTACGCTGCGGATGTCTGTGACGTGATGAAGCAGCTGGAATCATGATGTTAGATCTTTTGGATGCGGTGGCCTTTTCTGCTAGGCTCAGGAAAGGTTGTTCCAGGTAAGGGCTCCGGCCCTGGGTTCTCTTTTAGTCTGCGGGCCAGAGGCCCTCCATCAGAAGGGTGTTGGAGTTGGGCACGTGCAAATACGTGTGCGGAGGGGGGTGGTCCCCAAAATGGGTTTCGGCACGCGTGCGTCCGGCACGTCTTTCCATGTGTTTCGGACCACGAAGGGACTGCAGGCGAGGGACCCATCTTGGTGGCGTCGGATTCCTTTACGTGTCAAAGCACGTACGCGGATGGGGGGGGGGGGGTGTTTTGTACTGTGCAGTTGGCCTTCCGATCCGAGACGCCCCGAGACCGAGAGACCGCTACTGCTGCTGTTTCGGTCCGAGGGCGCCCTTGAGTCCCGGTAAGGCTACCGGGCACGGCCGACGGGCCACCCACTCATCAAGTGAGTGACGTTTTCAGCCCACCAGGGGCTATCGAGATATCTGATAGATTGTTGGATCGCTGGCGCGAGCTGTGGAGGAAAAGATTATCAAGATAATCACTTACGAGAAGATCGACAGCAGGCTGACGCCAGTGCCGACGATTTAGTTGGTAGCGGAGCCGGTCTGGCTCCACGGACCGGCTCGTCATGACGACCGAAGCGGAGAAACACGAGACTGTTCCTTCATGGGACGGAGACGTGGCCAGCTTCGACTCCTACGTGATGAGAGTGAAACTGTACGTGCGTGGTACCAAGAAGGACGAGAAGGGCCTCTGCGGGCCCAGATTGATGGCGAAGCTCCAGGGACGTGCGTGGCAGGGAGTACAAAAGTACGACAAGTTGGACAGCCTTAACGACCTGGAAGAAGACGCGACGACGAAGTTGCCGAAAGGAGTGAACCAGTTGATCCAGTATCTCAGGGAGAAGAGCGGCATCCTTGAGGTTGAGGACGCTGGCAAATATATGAGGACTTTCGTGAAAGAGACATACCGGAGGAACCGGACAAGCATGAGAGACTATCTCACGCAGTTCGAGGTCGAAGAGGACAGGATGCAGAAGGCGATCAAGGCCATCGACAAAGATTTCGACGAGAAGAAGCCGATATTTCCTGAGCCGCTCCGAGCATGGTTTCTACTCGAGAACGCAGGCCTCGAAGACCACGAGCGCTCGCAGGTGCTGGCCTCCGTGCAGAACAAGTATGGGTACCAGGCCATCCAGCAAGCTCTCGGCATGCAGTTCGACAAAAAGCACGATCGCGACCACAACAACAATCGTGGCACCAGGCCACAGTGGCAGGGACGCAGCAAAAACTACGTGGCCGAGGGCGACGACGACTACTCGGAAGAGGACGACGAGGATGATGAGGGCGACCAGCACAGCGAAAACGCGACAGCGCTGGCGGCGGAAGAGGACGAGTTCGCCAGCCAGATCAGGGAGATCTACGATCAAGCAGGTGACGACCAAGAGCTACGAGATGAGCTACTCGAGGGTGCTGTGTTTTCTGCTGCTCAACAAGGGCAGCGGTCCTTCAAGCAGGCTCGCGAGCTGCTGCGCCAGAAGAAGACCGGACGGAAGTTCTTCGCAGGCCAGTTCGGGCAGAAGAAAGGCGGACAGCCGGCCAAGGGGGCAGGCAAGTCTTCGACTTCGGCCAGGAGCTCGTCCGGAGGCGGAGGCCACCACCAGAAGAGGGACGACTCGTGGAAGACGGACCCCAACACCATATGCCTGAGGTGTGGCGGCCGTGGCCACATAGCTAAGAACTGTAAGGTTCCAGCGAAGCTGCAGGCTGGACGTAGCTACAAGCATCTATCGTCATCAACATCGCGACCGCGATCGACTACAGCACGACCGCGATCGACTACAGCACGACCGCGATCGACTACAGCACGACCGCGATCGACTACAGCACGACAGCGATCGACTACATCGCGACCGAGACCGACAGCATCACGACCGATATCGCCGAGAATCCGAATACGAACACCCAGAGTTTCCAGAAGGGAGTCCCATCGAGCATATGTGGTTTTCGAGCAGTGTATATTTATGGCCTCACAGCTCTCGGGGACCTTCAAAGGCATCTTGGACTCTGGGGCCACCTCATCCATGATAGGTTCAGATACGGCGGAGATCTGGCAAGCCACGATGATGAAGTTGGTTGGCCAGAACCGTATGAAAATAGTCCCTGGACCCCGAATCGAGTTCACTTTCGGGAATAATCAGAAGGCTCAGTCTCTGAATCACGCAAGTATTCCAGGATACGTCGACGGCCAAGAGTGTGATTTTCCAGTTTCAGTTGTGGAAGTGGATGCCCCGCTTTTGATAGGAATGGATTTCCTGAAGCATTTCGGAGTGATTGTTGACTTTGAGTTCGGCACTATCAGGTTTAAGGCTCTGGGCAATAAGACCTACCTTCTAGAGAGATCGAGGTGCGGGCATCTTCTCATAGATTTCGGGCCACGCGCTGAATGGAGAGAAGTTATCACACATGATGCTCTGATTTCCGATGCTTCCGAAGTTTCTTGGGCTCAAAACGGTGATCGAGCCAAGGCTCTCGACCCAGATCAGCTTTCTATTCCATATCAGCCAGTGGATGCGATCATCATGCGGTGGCAGAAGCTCACGTGGCTCATCGCGACCCTCGGAGGTCTTCGCGACTGCGACGGCCTTGGCGAGTACAAGGTGCGGCTGCTGCGGAGTTCCGGGGACCACGACGGCCGGATGTTCATGCCTGGGCGGCCGCAGTCACCAGTGTCAGGGACGACTTCCTTGCGGCCAGCCGCCGCTGATCAAGCCCTACAACCTCAAGAAGGAAGAGGAGACCGACGCTGGCGACATCAAGAGGCAGTACGACAACATCAAGTGCGCGTGCTGCGGAGCGCCTGGGAGGCGCAGAGCGGGCTGCAGCTGTGTGGGCGGGCGCAGCCATGTGTGTCTGAGGATCCGCGCGGAGACGTCGAGTTCTGGGCCAGCGTTTTCGGGCTCAGCGGCCAAGAAGGAGGATCCGACGACAGCGACACCGAGACCACCACCACCTCCGAGAGCAACTTCGAGCTCGCCTTCGCCGCCGAGGACGGTCTACCATGCACCGAGGCCGAAGGGGTGTCCGGCAGCATTCAAGGCACCACCTCCGAAGAAGGCGACGATGAAGGAGGAAGAAGTGGAGACAGTCCACGAGACGATCGACCTGGACACGGTGATGCAGAACAACATACAGTTTCCGACCTGGGATCCGGCGAAGGAGACCCTGACCGAGCACATGGAGAGGATGAAGCAGGAGACCGAGGACATACCGGTGCCGGAGGACCACTGGGCGCTCCTCGAAGAGATCAACAGCTTAGACAACTGGGTGAAGCTGACCAGCTTGACGCTGGACAGGGAGGTCCGGACGCTACAGCGAAGGACGATCCGGGCTGCGTTGCGGCTGGTCAGGTGAAGACGCTCAACGCCAAGCAGATCTACTTGCTCAA